GGACAAGGCGATGTCTGAGTTGGTTTTTAAAGAAATAGTAGGACGTGCAACCTAGCTGCACACGTTCAAATGCATTAGCTGTAACAGACTGAGTAACTGTTTGATAGGTCTTATTGCGGCAGGTGCCTAGGCCCCAGCACAAGGTCAGATGTCATTTGCATTGAGTCTGATTCTGGAGTGTGGTATAATCAGGGCGTGGACAAACTAGAAAGCGTTGTGCCATATGTGGAAACCATGTCACCTGTGGAATGATGGGGAAATTGAAACCATTAGCCTGTGGAAGGAAACTCTGGACTTTAGAAGGTGGCCACATGAAGGGAGGTAAATAGATCCTATTCAGAGATCAGAAACAGATCCACTGGGTAGGACTTGTGAACAAAACCAGGGAAGAATTTTAGAGTACTGTTTCCCAAATGGTATTCCATGGAACATGTTGAGATTCGAGCAAAAATTGTTTTGTAGTTACAAAAGTTTGAAAAATACAAAGTTTAAAATTCATATTGCTGCAGAACTTGTCAGCACCTTTATTTCAGTAACGTGTACCGTGATACTCCAACCAGAGGATATAAGAATTTTTTCATTCAACAAACAGGTACCGAGTGGCTGCTTGGTGCCAGGCACTGGCATAAGCACTGCAGACAATGAAATTAACAAAAGAGACAAAGTCCCTCCTCTCAAAGAGGGCAGGAGATGGCAGTATGCAAATAGTGAATTCCCACTTCCTGACTGGTCCACAGAACCTCTTTGTAAAGAAGCATCCCTGTATCCTTGTGTTCCTGGGAACAGAATTTGGAGGAAAGACTTAGTTCAGAGGATCTAGTGATGAAAGAGAGTGGTGACTTCCCCAAATTCCAGCACTGAAACTGTGGAAGCTGGTTTACAATGTCGATAGGGAAGCTTTAGAGGGTGTTTTGATATTGGAATATGTGATCTGTAAGAGCTAAAGTGCTTTTAACTCAACAAAGCTGGATGTTTCTAGCGAGTTCACCTTCAGTCTGAAATCTTATTGGGAAGAATTTATTTGCAGACACAAACTGATTAAAGAACATCCAAGTTTACGGCTATCCATGAAGCAGTAACACATGTTTCAAAAAAAAAAGTAGGTTGTTAGTGTGTATATAGATTAAAAACGATCCCCAAAGAATAGTCTTCTGGTCAGAAACCGAATGAGGAGCTTGAGAGGACTTACGAATTTTTCCTACCCTATTCAAATACAGTTTACAGAGGGTTACGTAGATGGTCATTTTCACCAGAACCCCGAGACCCCGAGACTCGCAAGACCCTATGTTCAGAAACTTAGGTTTAGAAGGGACTCTAGTTTTCATTTGGGTTTTGATCTGTCTTAAGCACTTGTGAGCAAAGAAGCAATTGAAACCCCCTGAGGAGGGCGTGGATCTTGGTTAGGATAAATCGCGGGGTTGCAGTGTCTTTTTGAGAAGAGACGCAGACATGAGAGGCGACCTAAGCTACAAACTCTGATATTTCCCAGCATTGCTGCTCCAACCTGGCCTCTTAAATGTCTGAAAACACCAGCTGAAGTCAATAAATAGACGCATTTTGTATTGCATATTTAGTATCGTATTTAAATTGTACGTGATATATATATTTGAACATATGTTTTAGTGTATAATTGAATTATATATTACATTTATAATAATTGGTATTCGATTAGTCTCAAGGCATTTCCCATTTCCTTCCATTTTACCCAGTTTTTCCTCATTCTCTAGCCAATTGCTCAAATTGTTTATGTAAAAGAATAACCTCAAAATTTTGGAGGTCAATTTAAGATTGGAATCATATTTGAAAATATGGTATTTTTAGCATGATTCCAATTTCACTCAAGCTAGTCCTGTAAGTCTTAAAAAGAGACAGCCATATTCTGTTAAAAATAGCCTGTTCCATCAGAGACTCTAAACAAGCAGATATGACATTTACACTTTTTCCCAATACTGCTTACAAATGAATCACTGTAAAGATATCAGTGTCTGCATCTTTGCTGTTGGCAGCATTATCTTACTGAAGGTGATACACATGCTGAAATCTCAGAGGCCATTACTAATGGAGGAGGAAGGGTATCACAGATAATCTCAAATTACAGTCTCCCCCAAAGCCACTCATACTTTGCAGCGGTACATTGGGGCTAAATGAAAGTAGATGGTTTCCCTTCCTAATTCCAACTTGCCTGACTAATTGAGTTGATGCTGGTCCTCCCTTGAGCGTATATATACATATATCCTGAAGGTGTGAGGTGGGTTGAGAGAGACTACTTGTCAAACAGCGTATATAACTCTCATATGTAACTGACAAAACAAATGATCAGAAAAGGGATCGCTGAGCATGGGCCACCTGCATTAAAACACTAGGGATATAATTGCAAGGGATAAAAAGAATTGGGTAAGAAAGGAATTCTCAGCATCACTGACATCCCAGCTCTGTAACCTTGTGGCAATGATGAAAGAAAGAGAGGTGTTTCCAAGCTGCTGTCTCATCTGAAGCAGCCACACAGACAGTCAGGAGAATTCCATGAGGGTCAGAGGAGCTCTGAAAGGAGTCAGTTTCATTGGTCTCTGCCTTACAAAAGTGGTCAACAGCCCAGATGCTCAGGAAGCAACATCTATTCCTGGTTTTCTAAAGGCAGTCCTTCAGGCTGAAGCCAGTCCCTGACAACATTTTCAACAGTCCCCATCGATATGAGAAAAATGAGGATGTTTATTGAATTAAATGCATTCAATATCTAGGACCATCCTTTGTTTTGAGCTGACGGCATTCTTATTGAAAAAAGAATGCTCTTTCTTCTTATGAAATGTGGTCATATCAGAGAGCTGGAGCTGCGGCAATCACTGCTGTGCTGCTGCTGCTAAAATTTAAATAAATCAGTCCAAAAATGTTTTTGAAACTCCCCCTCTCGGTGAAATCCGGAGGTCTAAAAGCCATTGAAGGCATGAGGGACTGGCAGGGTGGAAGGCTCAATTTAGTTCGAAGAAGGAAAACTGTAGGAAAATACAATTTACAAAGAGGAGGGAAGTGCCTAACTAGGAATATGCATAGATACTGAGCTGATTTCATCTCCAGCTGTCAGACTCCAGCTCCAAGCAGCTGCCAGGGGAGCATCCTGGCATCTTTAAGCCAGAATGTACGTCTAGACAAGGGCAGCTTGAGTGTCTTTTCCACCTCCTCTCCAAGACAGGAAACTTAATCTTGTCATTTTCCAAACTGCGTGGAGAGAATTTCTGCTTAAGGAGCCAATAGGAGATCCGCGGAGGGTGGACTCCAGCCTCCTTTGCCTTCTGAGATGCTGTTCTAACAGCATTTAACCCCAGGGCTCAAGCCCTCTGGCCCTGCTTGGATCCTGCTGTTCAATTTTCTGGAACGTTGATCCCTGCTTCCTTCTCTCCACTGCAGTTCTTTTCCTTGCCTCTCAGCCATACTTCCCCCTAAGGTCTATCTTTTTCTCTGTGGTGGCCTCCTTGGTACTCAGAGCTGAAATTAACTCCAGTGACCTAAGAGCAAATACTTTACTTTCTCATGTTAGCACATGCAACTCCATCCTTTATCCTGGGGCCGGAGAAGAGGTTTCAGTAAATTCCACCAGGGATAAAGCCCCGCTATAGGATTCTTTAAAGACTGTGGATTTAGGTCACAATGGATATCTCCATGAAGGTTAAAATGAGTAGTCCCACAGTACCACAGGAGGGATCCTCATGGAATGAGCTAGAAGGCTTCACGAGGTTGAATCCTCCACTCTGGCTTTGGCTCTGGAGTCAAGAGGATCTGACAGGGCTGCAGATGAGCTGATGGCCCTTGAGCGTGACTCTCTGAGGCTCACGGGTAAATGAAGGGTTCAGGCGGGAGGGCCTCCAGCAGGCTGTGTCAGCCCTCACAGGCTGCCATCTGCTGACTCCATCACTTTATCTCAGTCTAACCTATGGTCTAACATTGGCCAAGATGAGAGGCTGGCAGAGAAAAAGGATGCAATGAGTGTATACAGAGGCAGTTTTCTCTTCCCTCTTTACAGATGTGCTGCATCCCATGCTTCTCCCCGAGGAGATCTCTTGGGGGAAGGGGATGAGCATCGCTGTCCCTATTTCCCTCCAGCTCCAACTCCCACTTTTTTGTCGAAGAAGTTGTCTTAAGTTGGAGCTGTGGGTAAGCACTGCGTTGGGCTAGATCCAGCCAGTTGATCTTGAGTCTCCAGGAGACAGCGTCCTCCCTGCCAAATCGGGTGTGTCTTCATAAACCAATGCTGTTTCTGCATCCATGTGGCCCTACCCAATGGCCAACCACAGTGGTTGGAATTCCCCACCTCCTGCTGTTGAATCCTGTGAAATGGTGAGAGGCTGCAACTGCTTGCATTTTTTTTGCCTAAAGGAAATTAAACACATATATCTATATGAACATATAGATATATAGTGGTCTATGGGGAAAAAACATTTGTGAAGGGTAAAAAAAATCTAACAATCTTCATGAAGTTTAAGGAGGGAAACCTGGCGCATTTGGCTGTCTGTCCATGAGAAATGCTAAATTAAAAAAAAAAATGCAAGCCATGGGTCCCCAAGTCTCTCCACCACCATTAAAGTAAAGACCACATGAAAATGTGGAATCTTCTTGGTTGGAGATGATCTCTTCTGTGGGCTTTTCAGGTACATTTTCCTTTCTGTTATTTGCATTGGTTTTCTTTCTCTCATACCAGGGACGGGCCTGGTTAGAGAAAGGGTCTTGATTAACATTTCCAAGCCGACAGCTCTCCAAACACCTGACCCAGAGGAATTCAGTGCACCTCCACAGAGGAAAGGGAGATGCCCCTGTCGATGTGCTGTTTTGCCAGGTTGTGTTTCTCTGAACCAAGTGCTAACTTATTAAATTTCTGTAGGTTTCACAGAATACAACCGCATGGAATGCTGTGACTGTTTGCAATGCAACCTAACCTAAACACATTGCATTTCTTTTTAACCCAAAGGGGACTAGCAGGTTTATGGTGTTTGCATGTGCTTTCCCCCTAGACTCTGGCTGCCCTAACAAGAAATTCAATAAATCTACTTCCAAACCATCTTGCACAAGCTTTGCATGTCCAGTCTGGGCCTGAGGAGATTAACAAGAGAATAGAACATACCATCGACTTGCGGAGTGGCGATAAATTGAGAAGAGAGCATATCAAGCCATTCTCACTGATGTTTAAAGACTCCAGCCTGGAGCACAAGGTAGACTCCACAGTGGCTCTTTTTCTGAAGTAAACTGTAAATGTTCATGGGACCGGAGAGAGAGCCCAGGGGCTGTGGTTTTGGTTGGTGTGTTTGCTGTTTGTTCGGTTTGATACTGCCTTTTCTTTTCTCTTTGAAAATCATGAGTAGACTGAAGGCCATGAGAGGAGATGCCGGTCAGATACAGAGAGCCTCAGCTCTGCTCTTTAAGGAAAAGATGACAAAAGGAACAAAGGAGTTCCTTCCAGTTTGAGATTATTAACCCAAGTGACCTTAGCACCCACTTGCCTTTGATTTTAAGTGAATCCGCAACCCTTGTAAAATAATATACAAGGGCATCCAATAACCTGTTGCAAACATTAGTGATAAACACTGTCTTTCTTAGATTCGAGACCCCGTTCTCCCGTTTTCCCAGTTGTCCACTGCTCAGAGCCCCCCTGACGAAGGCACAGCAGATGGGTTGTGGATTCAGAGTTGGGTTCGTATTCTACTTCTGCCAATTCCTGGCTATGTGACCTTCACTAAGTGAAGGATCCTCTGAGGATGAGGTCCTCTCTGCACAATGAGGATGATGGACGTGCCTCCCTCATAGGTTGTGATGAAAGGCTCCAGGCAAAGCCTTGATCAGATCAACTGTTCAAAAGTGGCAGCCATTACCACGTTGATGATGACTTTTTTTCCACGCCCTTTCTCCCACCCTGACTCCAAACTGTAAAGTGTGAGGAAGTGGGTGCTGTCCCTGATCTACAGGGCCGCTCCTTTGCACTGATGGAAGCTGACAGACCCTCCTTGACTGAGCACAGGAGACGCTTGGCATCTGCAGGGGCCTCAGGCAAGAACAGCAGGGAATTTGCAAGCAAATTTCAGGAGTTTGATACGAAACTCCGTGAAGCTCCAGTGAGCAATTTTTTGTGACTTTGCTCAGCTGCCTGGGAGATTCTACTTTTGTAGGTTTGGAGAATTCACACTTCTGTGCACATGCATCTTTCCTAATGAGCTTCTTTGATAACTACCAAGAGGTTGCAAACTCCAAAATTAATATCTTCACCTGCGAATCACAGCTTGAAATGTATTGTGTCTATGTACTAACGAAACAAAAGGAAAAGAAACATTTTGCCTGCTCAACAGGCACCCCCCTACCCCCGCAATAGCAGGTGGACGTTTCTTACGAGTAATATAATTAAGGGCTTAAGATCCAAATTAAATGCATTTTCTTTCCTGGTTGCGACATTAAAGGAGCTAAAAAGAGCAGGGTGGTCTTGCAAAGAATCTTCTCAATTGGCCAGTGTAAATGCCTGCGTCCAGGGCAATACAAAGCCTTTTTATTCGTTCTTGCTAAAGGTGTACTTGCTTCACTAACGACCTCACCCCTGCACGCTGTAGATAATTTCTAATGTGTTTTATCCAATAGTGTCTGGCTCTCACCTGCAGGCGTTGGAGGAGGAATGGACCTAGGGGAGGCACCGTGTATCTGAGGTTGATTTCTGTGACCAGGGAGGTTCTTCTAAGGGAAGCAAAGCGTAGCATCCTGAACAGACATGCAGGGATGTAGCCCCGCACAGTCCAGCCTTGCACCAGCCTGAGTGTGCTCTGCATTACAGGGGTTCCCGGGGTGAGGGCAAGTGGGGCACCTCAGAAAATCTTCCCTCCCCTCATGCCACAGAGACATTTCTCATCGACTCCTGCCCTGAGACCCTCTCCAGGGGCTGTGTTACTGCTGAGCAGAGGATATATAAAAAGTAATCATCAGCAGGTATTTACCAAATGCCAGGCGCTGCTCCAAGCTGTTTGCACAAATGGACCAACAATGACAGTATGAAGGAGATGTCATGATGAGCCTCATTTTATACTTGGTGACTATGATGATTATGTAGTCTGTCCAAACCCCAGCTGTCAGTAGAGGGGCTGCGACCTGAGCCCACTGTGACCCCAAAGCCCAGTGCCCTTGTCTGTTCACGACCCTGTCCCTCCCAGGAGCCCTGGAGACTTGCTCTCCCAGGCGCTTATATGAAGGCAACAATCCTGTGTCATCTTCATCCTCTTCCCTGTGAACTTTAGATAAGGCAGGAGGCACAGGGCAGGGGTTTGGGAGAGAGAGCAAGTAAGAAAGGGTCCTAGAAGCCTTATCAACATGAAAACAGGGCCTTCAAGTCCACAGGGCTCCGGAAGCCAAAAAATCACATCAGTGTCCATCTGCTCTGTGCTTGGTGTTTGTGTGTATCGGTTTGCTGCATCCTCAGAGAAACACGACTGCCCCACTTACAAAAGAGAAAGCTGAGCCTCCCAGAGGTTAAGTGGAGGTCCTAGATCTCAAAACCTGGCCATCGTATTTCACTGCCTAAGGCACCATCAACTGTGAGGGTCTTCATTTTCTATGCAGCACAAAGAAAATCCACCCAATGCGCTGTGCTTACAGCCTCGGGGTGAGGATGAGCAGAACTAACCCACCCAGCGGACAGCGAGGGGCTCACGTGCCTCCAGCCTGGCACTGGTTAGACGGAAAAAGAGCTCTCCAAGAAGGAGAACTCCAAAATGGAGCCCATCATGCTCGGAATGTGGCTTAAATTTAAAAAAAAAAAATTTTAAGTCAGGTAGAGAATTTTTTTTTCTGAAAGTCTA